GTCCAAAAGGCATAAGCATTTGAATTTCTAAGAAATTGCTCTGTGTTCGTTCATGTTGTGAACTAAACTACCCTAGTCTAGCGAAAATCAGCTACTTTGTTTAGGGTTTGCGCTTGTAGGCATAACCACTTCGCAAATATAAACTGGGGTATTATGTTAGCGAAATACAAAAGACGAAAGAAAGTGAGAGTGATTATGGAATTTTCAACTGATTCAACCAAGGCCAAACAATATTTAACCTACAGGAGTCCAAAAACGTCATTAAAAGGCAAAAAACAATCAGACAACATTTCCGAAGCATGAAATATACCAAACAGGCGACTGAAAGTAATCAGGGAGTTGAATATTTAGAGTGCTTTACATTTTCTCATTTTAAGCAGATAAAAATTGCGACAGAAGCCCCTTATACTAGCAGTCATCAATTGACTTGCATTTATGGCTTTAGGTCAAGTAGCCGAAATCTCTTTTACCGATCCGTCCAAAACATGTGCTGATATTTAGTGTGCACTTTCAACAACGTCTGTCCGATTTTTTATACCAGACAGCGCTTTGTAGACAGACTGGAAAAAAAGTGGGCGGCCCTTCGTCATACACGTGCAACAGCAAAAAGCGAACTTCTTCAAGCTTCGGATCGTACCCTCGACCGCACCCCAGCTGACGGCCTTTCATGTGATCATGTAGACTGACACAATCCAAAGTACGCGTGCCGTGCCGGATGGTACCCAGCCAGCCCAGCGCACACAATTGGTTTAACAAGTCATATAATGAAGCAGACAACAGAATGCAGTAAAGCTATAGTTGTAACTGCACCTCTGCACGCTTTTGTCATTTCCTGACAAAAATGAGATTTTGGCTAGGTTAAAGTGCAAAATTTACCGAAGTCTGATGCGGAATTTTGAAGCAGCCCAATTACACACCAGTTTTTAAACTATATTTTTTCCCCCCATTGAAAACTTTTAACTTTTCTACAATCAATAAAAATATGAAATCAAGATGTTCTGTCAAAACTTCAAAGATATCTTTGTTTGCAAAGGATATTTCACTTTTCTAATGACTCCAAAGAAAGTTGAATAATATCCTAAAATATGCCTCACTATGGCAAAATAATACATATGGTCAGCAAGGCTAAAGGGTTTCGTAAACCACTTCGTAGCTAAAAAGTGCATGCTCTTTGGACCCCAGCAGTACATATTACTGCACGAAAATCTATATTATCCTAGTCTCGTTAACATAACGGACCCGTTTTCTCCGTTGCGATCTAACTAACATTCATAGACTTGGAATGTAGTATCTGCAACATTTTAACTTTCCTAAAAGATATAAATATAAGACTAAATTGTTAGAAAAGTTTTCAGTTTTTGCGCCTGCTATCTCAACTTTTTAAAAACTATGCTTGCCTTATAGGACAGTTGTCTGACAGTTGTCAGACTAACCTACCACTACCTATGATTTCCGATGGAATCCGAAACGTCAGGAAAGTAAAGCTTTTGTTCCCGTGGTTGCATCTTCTTCTTCTGAGTTGTCTTTTTATTTTACAATAGACTGATAACCACAGTTCAATATTACCGAAATGCCAAGATTATTTCCACAATCGGATTTTCACTGATGTACATATGCGACCTCGTATCCATGGTTGACCCTTTACCTTGTTTCTGCAGACATGACTCCTGGCATTGTTTATCTGGTCATAAAATCTAATTCGAAGGCCTCTGACCTATCTAAGTTAGCTTTGCCTGCCTACGTTGGGTAGAATAGATTTACTGCGTGGTAAGTCTTTAAATAAAACTCAAAAAGTTAGAGTTCGTGCTTGGTAACTGGTTATGCCTTAATTTACTCTTCTCGTTCAATTATCACGCAAGCCATTGCAGAGATTTCTTCATCATTGACAGTTAGTTGTAGCCTCACCTTCCATGTCGAGATGTTGGCCAACAGAATATCATTCAAATCCGCTAACCGTCTGTACGAACATGACTTCTATGACTAGACACTAAGCAGTCTGTGAGTGTGGTATTTCTGATCGACTAACCACTCTTCAGAGGCCCCGTTGACCGGAATTGATTACATGAGTGTCCCTGCACCAAATTCCAGGAAGGGTACTTAGTCATGTGTCCTAACTCTAACAACTACTCTAATCCAATCCCTACCCATAATCCTAATCTTAACCCTAACCTTGGCATAAGTTCTACCTTGACCCTAGTCCCGTGTTTAAGCCTATCAACTTAGCCTGAAACTTCTACTTAAATCTACCCCTACTTTTGATATCTAGCACAAATCATCAATCCCTACGCCCTGCGTTCCTATGACCCTTCTGGTCTGCAAATGTGCCGCGTTCATATAGTGACTTTAATGGGCAGATATAAATGACGTTACTCTGTTCGGAATTTGACACGTGCACTAAGTGCATGCATCCATCAGCTATGCGTACTTATAATCATGTAATGAGGTCTATTAGATCTCGCTAATGAATAATTAAGCTCCATACCATTATACAACAAGATGTGCGCTGGTGCAGCTGTTTTCCTGAAAAAAAACTTTCCTTCCTAACTCGTTGTTCAAAGGATGGCTTTCTTTTTTGATAGCTTGCAGCAAGTCCAAATTTATGTCACTGTCAACAGTGTCTGCCGCACCTTTTAGACCAGACAGACTGCGAAAAAGGGACGGTGTTTCGTTGTACACGTGCCACAGCAAAAAGCGCAATTTCTTGAAAGCTCCGAACCGCACCCTTGGCGGTACCTCAGCTGACAGCTGATCACGTGGTCAGTTGAAAGAAACGGGATCCGAATTACGCCTGCTATGTCAGGTCGTGCTAATGCAGACCTACGCACTGCATTCTTTGCGTTGTTTTAACAGTTCAGTTGCTCAAAGAGAGACCAGAAAATAATAAATTTAGACTGGCAAATGCATCTGTTTCCACATTTTCTGACTAAACTGAGTGTTCATTTAGACAAAAATGTAGAATTAGTCAGAGTATAATTAGGCCGTTTGACGCAGTCCGGTTAAATTCAAAATGTTGGAACACCTTACCTGCTTCCATTAAAGCTGCTGAAATACCTGCAAATAACAAACATTTTAATTTGAAAATGTCCTGATAGAAAATTGAAAAACCTGTCCAACAGTATGTGGAATACTATCAAAAACCATTTTCTGTACGTGCATATAAAATACTCACCTATTTGCAAATCGCAGGTAGTATTATATTTTTCTAGTACCTTGAAACCCAAAAATATTAAATATGGGGAAGGATATTTGTCTAGTATTTAAATAGCACATGTTCTCTGCGAGGTTCACAGGAGCATATGCGACTTTGTATTGAAAGGTCTCATCTTCTATGGACTGCAACAAGACCTATTTCTGCACCAAAACCCACACCATTAACTTGCCGCTAATAGGATCTGTTGCCACCCAATAAACACCCATTCATTTTGTAAATATATCTGAAATCTTTTGAATTTCTTGCACTAAGCACTATAGAAGAGGGTTGTCTGGAGGTTAGGATACATTTCTGTCCAGAAAATAGCCCCCATACGGCTCCTATTTCCTAAAACGCGATTCCTTTGAGGCGATAACCGACGCGCACTGTAATAACTCAGCATTGTGCTGTAATCTGAAAACGTAGGACATTTTTAAAATGGAATTGTGCGTTATTTCGATAAACTGCCTTGTTAAATTAATATTTTCCAATATTACCAAGAAGTCGAATGCACGAACGCGCGGTCAGCACGCTTAGTAGTCTGAGCCTTTGAAGCCCAAAATCAGAAACTATGAGCCTGTCTCAGAGATACCTTAACAGTCCGACCGTCGATTCCGATTAGTACCATCCTGTCAATACGAGTGCGCGCAGGAACGGTAACTTGTGCGTAAATTATTATACAATTAAATCAGATTTGCGCCGCATCTACCGCACTGAAAACCTGAGGTCCGTATTTTCGCCTTTGGCGGTGGCCGAGGTGGACTTGCATTTCAAATACAGCCAATCGCAAATAACAACAACCTAATTACACCTAGCGGCTTCTAAGTCTGTGCTGATATGACAGAATTAAGAGTACATTTCAAAAAGCACGATCCGTCTTTATGTTCCCTGTAAGTTCTGCCTGTCAGCCTTATTGGGGCCTTCATAAAAACATAAACAAATTCCCATTGAAGATGATCAAGAACTGCTATTATCGTAAAGAAAATGTCCTTGTATTGTGTATGCGGACCTTGCAGTTAATAGTCAAAGTTCCAGGCCTAGTTTGCCTTCCTTGGGTGTGAAGCACACTTGCAAATAGACTTCTGGCATTGCCCTCTTGTAAGATGCATATTTTTAACATTTTGACTACGACGTGCGCCACATGTGGTACAAGCAATGCTGTCACAAACTACAGGCTATTTTGGGAGTCACAGTCAAAGTGATAAACGACAAAACTTAGAATGCATACATATCTACATTGGGTCGGACTTTCAGAATCAAAAAAGATGTGGCGGTTCCTAGCTTTCTCAACGTACACTATGTGCACAGGGACTTGTGAGATTAAGTACCAACGATGAAACAAACAAGAAAGTTCGTAGCATCGGCGCCAAGCCCGCAAACCGTC